GACAATGAGAAAGAGCTTAGCTTTGGTAAGCAATTCTGCAGAAAGAAATGAGATACAAAAATTTGAAGCCAGATGCTGTTCACACACACAGTCACACTGTGGGGCACACAGATACTCAAATAGTGGTGAGAGAAGAATAAAGTAACACCTTGTCCAGCAGACAATGTGGTGTCCAAAAATATTCAGTATGGCTGCAAGACAGATGAGGAAGACAGTGGTTTCTGAGTATTCTCATTTCAGCTCCTTTCTATTCTACATCCAGTATCTGGAATCCATAGCAAAAATTAAAACTGGAGGAGTATTCCAAGTGCTGCACTATCTTGAAAGGTTCCATAATGGCACAGTGGCTCTGCAATGCATGGCCAGGTACCTCAGCAGCTCAGGAATGAAGCACATTCTAGAGAAGCTCTTTAATGCTACTAGGACTCTTCCAGAGTGCACTCAAACCACATGCAGCCATTTCACCTCAGCATGCCCATAGCAGGGGCCAGCAGACAACCTGGGAGTAGATACTGCTCACTCTCTCCTCTCTCTCTGAAACAAAAAGCTTTGGGAGTTCTTAAAGGGTACTACTCTGCTCAAATAAGACTGCAGCATGTGTGTGTATGTGGTTTGGGAAATAATTTCCTGGACTACTCCAAACTCAGAAGCCTTGCTCAATACAACACTAGTACGTACACAAAGCTGGATCTCCTCCAGAAGAACATGAGTATAATTAAAGAAAGATATGAAAGCCTGATTTTTTCAGAATTAAGGGAAATGTGATCTGGAATCTTCCCACTCATTAGCTGCCAACAAAGCATACATGATTTGTGGTTGGTAAATAGGGAACACCTGGCTTATCCTGGGTAAATGGGATAGATGCTGCTTCTAGGGATAAACACAGACAAGAGTGAGAAATTTCAGTAACAGTTGTTCATTCTCTAGCACAAAGTCATTCCTGATCTGATTAGAGCATAAGCAACTTAAAGGCACGCTTGTACGCAGCGTAACATAGTGCACATGTGCAACAGGCAATCAGTGCCAAAAGGTTGAAGCTCTTATGTTATCAATAGACAGTACCATGTCCCTAAGCTTCCAAACTGCTAAAAGTAGGTAACCACATTGAGCCAGCAGAGCTCTACAGTTCATATACAGAGTGCAAAAAGGCAAAGTCTGAAAAACTGGTGTCTTCCAAGAGTGTCCTGTTTATATAATCCTTGTCAATAGGACTTGGAGATAATATAAAATAGTCTCCAGAGGACAAGGGGACAGTGGTCCTAGACAGCTGCATTTAATAAAATCAAAATATATCAGTAATATGTCTTTTGAGATCCAAAATCCTCCAAGCTAAATGTTACCAATGACAGAACAATCCCATCGTACAATTTTTTGTTCAAGTCTTCCAGACAAGAACAACTTCAAAGAGTAAAAATTAATTTGTTCCTGCTCTTTAAAGCATGATTAAGTAGCCAATGACACAGGAAATGAGACTGCATTTCATATGTGCTGCTGCACTGTCACCCCAGTCATATTCCAGTACCTGAACCTGAGGGCAAGCTCTTGCTTTTTCAGCGATAGACACCAGTTTCTTTGAAGAACAACTGGTTGGGGAATCATTCCAAAAGCATCTGGCATCTTTGGTTCCACTGTTTAGTAACCAGGCTTCAAGTCAGGGTAAGGCAATCTGCATGTAGGAATAACATGAAAGAGGAAGAACCTCAGGGATTAGTTAGGATCTGGGTGAAGGTTTCTCTTGGTGGAGAAAGTTGGGAGACTTTTCTTACTTGTAAATCTATGACAGTAGACTGAAGCCTCCAATACTAGAGCCCACTGGGAACTCTAGTACTCAAATCTGGCTCTCAGTAACAGCCAGCAGGGCTGGGATTAGGAACAAGATTTCTGAAAGTATACAGAAACTACAGAAAGTCAAAGATCCAGGTCAGAAGAAGTTGCAAAACAGTGGAAAGTCCAAGTCTGCAAATTAGAATTTCAGGAACAAACCAAAAAAGCTCACTGCTTCACAGGCATTGCTCAAGCTTCTGCTTATTTTTCTCCCTCCACCTACTCTGCCTTATCATACTGACTGAAGCTAGGGTCAGGACTTCCAGCTACAGAATGGAACTTTATTCAAACATCCCCAACCATCTTCTAAGGGCAGAAAATTCAATGGCACAGTTATTTTGAGGACAGCAGAGATCATTCTTTTAACAGCAGTCCATGCTGACAGTGGTCAGTAGATTTGTGGCCAGAAGGTCAACTTCTCTCAAAGTAACTAAATTGTGTCAGAACTACTGGAGGGCTTTGGACCAAACTGATCTCTTTGCTCATCAGGAACAGCTGGGTATGTTCCCATTTCTCCTTTCAGGCCTTTGAATTAGAGCTTTGTTAAAATACAACATCGACCCAGAAGATATAATTCACACAGGCATTATATTTACTATACCTTAAAAATGGAAAACATGCTCCATTCAATGCAAACACAGATTCATTTTTGCCTTGGTAAGATTCAAGAATAAAGAAGGAAACTCTACACGTAAAAGGCAACACACAATAGAAAATAAAAACCAGTAGAAGTTTAAAGAAAGGAAAAACTAAGAAAGCCAAGGTCCTTCTCCAAAAAGCTGTGAGGAAACCCTCCGATACAGGAGAAAGTTGAAAGTGATGGCATGATACAGGCTCCAGCCAGATGTGCTATCTCTCTGCCAGATGTGTGGGACACACATCTACCATTTTCTTAAGGTTTAACATCTCAGTCCTTTCTCTCCATTCATTTCTGAGAATTTTTACACTTTCCTAAATTGAAGCTTTTAGGTACTAGCATGTCAGATAACCAAGAGGTGGAAACCCTCATTTCCCACGCTAGATCAAACTGACTTTAGCTAGTTCTATTTAGTAAAGCACAAAGCTCAAGTTAAGCTTTGTGCATCAGGTCTGGCTGAGATGGAGTTAACTTTTGCCACAGCAGCCCTCCTAATGCTGTGTTGTGTATTGGTAGCCAGCAAGGTGTTGGTAACACATCACTGCTTTGGCTACTGCTGAGCACTGTTCCACAGCATCAGCCCTGTCTCTGCAACATTCCCTCCTCCCCAATAGGCTGGGGGTGGATAAGATCCTCAAATAGGACACAGCCAGAACAGCTGACCAGAACTGACCAAAAGGATATTCCAGACCATATAATGTCTGCTCAGCAATAAAAGCTAAGAGAAAGAAGCAGGAGGAGGGGCATTTGTTATTATGAGGTTTGTCTACTGGAACAAGCACTACATGTACTTGTACATGTAGTGTACTTCCTAGCTTCCTAGGAAGTGGATGGACATCACCTGCTGATGGGAAGTAGAGAATAAATCTTTGCCTTTGCTTTTGCTTTTTTAAACCACCTTTACCTTGACGCTCCTCTTACTTTATTTTCCATCTTTTCTCCCCTGACCCCACAGTGATACAGCTTGGTGGGCACTTGATGTCCAGCCAACGTCAACCCACCACAAGTTCCACAGTAACATAGAACAACAAATTTAGATTAGTTCAGAGCATGGGAAGAACAAGTTTGCTTTGCTTAGAATATATCGTGAAGATATACCCTTCAGCCTACTCATTATTACTTATTTGATTGTCATTTCATAGTTCATTAGAACATTGTTAGGCACTAAAGTATAACAAAATATGAACAAAACAGTTGGAAGTATTTTCTAAATAGACTACAAACATCAGTTGAAATTAGTCTAATTAAAAAAGGTCTTAATATACAGGTACAGAAGTCATACAAGCAAGAAACATGATAGCTCGTAACACTAGTTTCCATAAACCAAGCTTACTGGATCAACTTGCCTTGCTGGTTTTTTAGCATTTTACTACAGAATTACATTAACTGATTGATATCAGAACAAAACCAACTTTCAGTGTATCGTTTTATTATGTTCAAAATGTGAATTAGGTTAACTGCTACTCAGGAACTATTTAATGTGATAAATTACACCGTAAGGATTATCAGATTTCAGAGATTTAATACAGGTGGCGTGATGAGCAGGTACACATCCCAGCACTAAGCAGCAGGTTGTTTGGCAGACATTCCTCAGCCAAACCAACTGCAATAATAACTGCTTTGAAGCAAGTGTGTTTTGGAGGAGAAGTTCAAAAGGTGTTTGATTCCCAGAGAGTGATAATCCTAAAACTGTCTATTCTGTTCGGAGACCTGCAGGAAACACCTTCTTGACAAATCGATTGACCTTTCCTTTCCAGAAACCTCTTGCACATTAAAATAAATGTCACAAGAGAAAATGTCAGAGATGTGCAAAGAATAAGCCAGCTTAACACCAGCCAATAGGAACATAAATTCCATTTGCTAGTCTATAAAGGAGTATCTATGGCAATAACTTTAACAAATAAAGTAATTGCCGTAACAAATTACTTGTATTTATTATCTTCAGGTAAGTAAACCACAGACACGATCTCTCTCTAAAGCATACTGTCCCTAATCACAGAAACTGATTTAAAATCAAAATCATACAGATCATAAAACAACTATGCCACAGAATGTTTTTAAGAGTTTACTTCACAAGAACAAAGAATGACATTCTAATAATGTGTTCTTTTGAAGGCAGGCATAGGGAGAAATAGTTTAACTGTAGGCCAGTTTATTAATGATAACAATCCATCCATTCCTTACAGTTTACAGTTCCTTAAATATTAAAACCAAATATGCCATAGCTGTAGCCAATCCTTTTGACATAAAAAAGGCTTTAGATTCCATATATTAGCAAAACCTGTGTACTTACTTTAAAAAGACTATCACTATCATAATGAGATTTGGTTTACTGAACAGAGAAAATAAATGGAAGAAAAGAAGTTCAATCAGAGCTACCATTCAAATCAAAGCAAGGATTTAAATAAAGGGAAAGAATACACTGGTTATTGCTTTGCCTCCACCAGCCCTACTGTGAAATTTTCATATCCTTTTAAAGATGTATCCGGCACTTTGTAAAAGAAAAACACACAAATACACACCAGAAAAAAGTACTCACACTGTTTGGGTGTTGAATGGCAACTTCGTGCTGCAGCCTAACCCGCTGTGGCATCATCACATCATCCTGGAATAAATAGCACACTGTTAGTGAACATAAAAAGGGTCACAGTACAGAGTTCAGACACATTAGGTTATGCTGCTAAATTAACATCATTTTACTGGCTTGCAGTCAGAAAGAGAGAAGGCACAAATACTAAGAGATTGTACACTTCTAGGGAATTAAACTCAGTGCTCTTCAAACTGGAAGTGATCAAAACCACTATGTGACAACTGCATTCTGATTTCAACATGAACCCTTATGGGCACCCACACACTGTACATTTCTAAAGGAACTCACCAACACTTTAACAACTCTGATCTCCAAACTGGCACTACGTGTGGACAAGGAACTAACCTGGATTCAAAGCATGAGATTTACGACATTCTAGCAATAGGAGGAAATGTTCTCAGTGTACCTTGTTTCACTGGTAAGGAGAAGCCTTCAGTCTCTAGTTGTACTGATATGCCACATTTCATGAGCACAAGAACTACTGTTTGTGACATGATACAATTTTAGGGAAAAATAAAAAGGAAAAAAAAGAACACGCTCTCATAAAACTCACCAGCACTGACACTGGCTTTAAAAAACACCACCTAGATTTCAATTTGATGTTAATACTTCTTTCACTGTAGCATAAAGATATGTTTTGTTTACATACAAAAAGTTAGGTTGTTTTGTGAAAAGTTAGCAACCTCTCTATAGTTCCTTCAACAGATAGGAGGAGATATTCCTCTCAAAATACTATTTCCTGTTCATGATCATATTCTTTCTAGACCAGAGTTTTTCAGTCTATTAAAATGCCTGACTGTAGCACAAGTTTTCTTCCCTAAATTTAGTCTCCTGAGGTTTCCACATGTATTCTTTTCCATTTTGGTGCCATATTTCTTCCCTTTTGAAGGATCAGTTCAGTCTTTCTCAGGTGCTGATTAAAGCTAACATAGCGTTTTTCAGAGTATTTTCAAAGCCAAAAAAACAAATATTGAATTTCCATCAACTTCCACATTAAAACTTTCCATCAAATCAATGGCAACAAAAATACATTAGTGCTTAAATATCTCGAGCTTAGAGGGTTGAATGACCTTGAGATAAAGGTGACACTTGAGTTTTAGCAAAAACAATGGAAGGATGAAAAAAATATGAGAAGTAGATCCAACTATTTAATAAAATTCAAGGTTAAAGATAAAACAAATTAATAATAAACTGACCCTTGTCACATACAAGTTTATAAAAGGTGGAAGGAATACATTGTCAAAAGCATTTTCTTTCCTCTGTTTTGTATTTAGGATGTATTTAGTCATGAGCATGAGAGATGTTACTGTTTTCTGGTTTTCAAAGCCAGCACAGTGAAAAAAACCCTTCCCATTTCTAGACCTCTGTACATCAATTATTTAAAAATGACAATATTTACCATCTAATGCACTTTAGCAATAAGGCACCAGAATTTGGGTACTGTATCAAGCAAATATTCCAAGAAAACATTCACCCTGTTTCCCTTAAGAACCATAATCCAATTTCTTACTCCAAATACAGAACTTATTCTTGTTAATTAAATCCTGGTTCAGGATCATATATGCAATAGGAGATATATTTGAACTGACCCTTGTTCACTCCTTTACAAATTACTTAGGATTCTTAGATGTCTCCTTGTTAAATCCCCCCAGAATGAGAATGCAAAAGAAATCCATCAAAAAGCAATGAATTTCAATACTTAGAACAATGTTACTATTATCTCTTACAATATACAACATATGCTCTTGTGCTAAAAGATTCCTCAGTTTATGATGCTGCACAACAGAGATAACTTTAACAGAACTCAGACATTCACAAAGATGAAGAATAATCCAGTTCATTTAAAAAGGTTAAATCAGCATGGAAAGTATTCAAACCAAACTGAAATCTCCTATTCACCAAACTGGTCAGTGTTATGTTTTCATAAGCAGACAACTTGACAGGAAAGGTCTAGTTCCCCCTAACAAAACACTATGTCATTTTGATGCTACTGGCAAAACTAACACGTCTACAGATTTGGGGCCTAGGCTATCATCAAGATCATCAGTACTCTGTAAAATCCAGCCAAAGAGGGGGCATTATAACCACAGAAACTCCTAAATGACTTTTTTGTATTAATACATCTTTGTTCTCTAACGCTGAAAAACTCTATGAACTCTTACCCTGAATGACCTTTCAGAAGAATTTTGTCTTCTTTTTATTAGCAGTTTTACACACATGATGCATTGGTGTATAGTTCTGTGATACTTTCCAGGGTCATGGGAGAAAGAAAGGAAGGAGAGGGGGAAAGAATATAGTCATTTAAGACATAATCCCAAATAAAATAACAAAGCAGTTAGGTGATGAGGAGGAGCAGCACAAAATACACACCACATCCCAGAAAAATCTGAGTCACATCAGCCACTTGGCTTTTTAGACTGAGGTTGTGCAACTATAAAAGTAAGGTAACTGCAAAACCCAGCTTCAGCACTCCACAGGTCCCTTCCCACCCAAACTACTCTGTGATTCTAGGAGTGATGACTGGGCAGGGAGCCCAGAAGTGGAAAACAGAATATATTTATACAGAGACAACCTGATGTGGCTGAATTCTAGACCAGTGTTTAAAAAACCAAATTCCATTCTAATGAGTAAAACCAAAAAGATTGTACCATAAAATAAGAGCACTTTAAAATACACTTCGACTTCGTAAGCCTTTGGTAGGCATGAGATGCCCAACGATGAGCTGCACTGGGAACAGTTTATGGAGTTTAAGCAATTGTAGCATTAGACAACTAAGATGTTAAAATACTTTGTCCAGCTGCATATTAGGTAATCATAAATTTTCTACCAAAACTGTTGTATTTATGATATTGAACTCAGCAACTGTATTGGTTTCTATGCTAAACAGAGTCTGGTCATCCTTTTTGGTTTAAAACTAAGAACAAAACCTTAGTAACAAGACAAACACTTTCCAAATTATTTTTCACTTATGTCATGTCAGACAAAAAGAAAGTACATATCTGAATGTAGCTGCTGTATCTAAAAGGAAAGTATATTCAGTTTGTTTCTGTCTCCTGTGCGTGAGTAGGGAAGATAACAAGGCTAGCACTGAATTACATTGAATATATAATTTGAAGAAACACAAGTTTCCATTGAAATTCAGTTTTCCCTCTTAACATGAAGTCTTTAATGGTTTTCTCCTAGCAGATAAAAGCCAGACAGGATGAAAAGAGATTCTCCCCACTGAAAGAATGGACAAAAGAACAGATTTAAAATAAACCCCAGATAAATGCACGCCTTCACTAAGCATATACTTCAGTAACAGCTAAATAAAAAAGAGTAAGTAACCCCATTTTCAGGTGACCCCACTCACCAAACTTAGTAGAAAAATGAAGAAAAATCTCAGGTAATAGCTGGGTTTACTGTCACCTAATATCTACATACATCTATACAATGCAAATGAGGCCAAACAGGTAACCAGCAAGACATAAAGCAACATAAATAGAAACCTATTTTAGGCACTTACAATAACCCAGAATTAGTAGGAATTTTTGATTACAAGCATGTTTCCTGCTCTCCAGTGTCCGTTCTGAAGAGGGAAACAATTTGCTGAAAGATGGGAGAATAAAAAGGACTTTATTTCACATGAAAGGCCAGCAGGGATTTCTAAACAAGCCCAGATGTGTTTCTGCCAGTGGGGGGCCGTGATCTCCATCACCTTTCAGTCTGACAGGCACTCTGCCTGCTTGGGCTCCTATCAGATGTATCCCTTCTGCAGAAAGCTGGCTTGCTCCTGTCAAGTTCCTCACCACTTACAGATGCTGCCAAATCAAAAAGCTAGTTACACAACTATCAGCTGGCTTGTCTTCCTTCCAAGCAGAGGCACTATTCTTTACAAAAACACAGTTTATACTGAGCTAATTGTGTTTCACTTTACTCATCTGTTTAGTCGAAGAAAAAGAAAATTAAAGCCATAGACTGAGCTTAAGAATATTACTCAAAGCTGGTGCTATTTCAGGATGTGTTTCTTAAATCAATTTGGGTAAATGCAAATGACAGGCACTCACTGGCCTCTTCAACCAGGCTGCCTGGACCACACTGAACTCCACAGTGATAACTTCATGATTTCCCCTTAAAAGTGGGGGGTTTTGTACTTCAGAAAGCAAAATAAAGCATACAACTCAAAAAACAACACACATCTACTTTTTAAAACCAAAGACAAGTTAATGTAAAACAACACACTAATTATAGCTCAGTACTGAAGTGCTTTCTCAAGCTCACATTACAGACTCTGCACCACATGCTTTCCAAATTCCTTCGTATTTGGCTGTTCAAAAAACCCACACACACACAAAAGAGAGCTGACAAACTCCATCCTCACAATAGCAGTACCATCTTTGCATTGCAGATATTATACATAAAATACAACCTGTAGCAACACCAGAAGGAATGTTTGACTTGCTGAGAAACAATATGGCATCTCCAAAGTGTTTCAATCCATCAAACAGTCATTCATCTATCCTGCACCTGCTCAGACTATAGGGAAAATCTTTCTTTGCTATTGTTCAGTACAGCTCCTTGAACTAGGGAGTAAAAGGCCTTGGACCTCCAAGAACTGACCCATCAACAGCACTACCAAAGTAAATACACTGATATTATGTGATTTTCTAGAAGGCAGGTTTTTAAAGAAGCCCCCCACTATCAAACACATTCAGTTGTGCACTCTAATGGCCATACACAAGTCACCTGAGCAGAACACATCCTGCTGATCTGTCAGTGCATGCAAGACCATAGGAAAAACTACTACTTTCCTGTTTCTGCTTCTGAATTAAATTGAGAAAGAAGGAGACAACAAAGAAATCACTTCTAAGTTTAAGGAACTGATTTCATTAAGCACCTTTCTTATCCTGAGCACGGCAACTAAAAGTCTACAGAGGAGTATATACACAGTGTTCTTATGCTCCTGAATGAGTAGCACATTCCATCAACAGAAAATTTAGAAAGGAAGAATATTTCAGAAGTTTATTAGTGCCTGCAATGTGTAATGGCAACCAACAATAAATCCATCTTTCCCAAACCAGCAAGTTACAGAGACTGTAAAAACAAGCAGCTGTGTTTATAACCGAGAGCTAGTTTGAAGGCTGGAACCCCTGCAACATCTACCAAGTCTGGCTAGCTAAGGTCCAACCACTTTAATGAATACCCCCCAGTGAAGGAGTTTTGAACTTGAAACTCAAGAAAAGCATGCAATTTCACAGCAATTTAGAATTAACATTCCCAGCTTAAATCATACAAGCAAATCTCCCAAACGGAAAGGCACAGGTCAGCAGCTGCCCATTCAAATACGGGAATGCC